CTTCTATGCTGGCAGTCTCTGTTGGCATTTGGGCTGCTTTGTCATTTTTCGTGGGGCTTTGACTTCTACGACCAGACACTTGCATTTCCTGGAGAAGGACCTAAATGGTCCATTTATATCAGCAAATATTGACTCCTTTGCTGCAAGTGCCAATTGCTTACACTGGGACGCTGATGCCTTCATGCTTCAAGAAGCAAGAATTGCAGAGTCAAATATGGTGGAGTCTCAACGCAAGGCTGCTCTTTGCAATTTCCACTTGTACTGCTCTCAGCCTCTTCAGAAGTTGCATGGCGCCTTTCGCATTCCCTCCGGGGGAACTGCAACCTGCGCACACAAAGAGTTCACACAGTTGTTTGACGAGACCACTGATTTGTCTGGCACTTGGCAGCTCTTGCGCAGCACCGCTCGAATCACGGCTACTTGGCATCAAGTGTCCTCCAGCGTCAAACTACTACTGGCCTTTAACTTTTACGCCATTGCAAATGCTGCCTCTGAACGGGCTAAGTTTGAACGCAACAACGATCTCCTCGACATGATCTTTACGGTTGCATCCCAATTTGGTGACATTCCTATCCTCATCGCTGGTGGCTTCCAGATGGAGCCAGGCATGTACCCCTCTGTTCAGCCGGCTTTGGATCATTGGGGTTGGGCTGACCCTCTCCTCCAAACGGATGATCAGGGAGATGTCTTTTGGCCTTGTACTTTCTTTCGGCATTCTGCTTCTGAAGAAGGGGATGGGCAATCCTCAATTGATGGCATCCTTGTGAACCGGACTGCACTCACAGCCTTGATGCATGTAGAGGTACTTGACCACCAGGACCGACAACACCGCCCTGTCAGGGCCACTTTTGCTTGGGACCGTGTTCAGCAGGTGGGCACGGATTGCAGCGGTTTGCTAAGTTGAATCTTGACCAGGTTCACACTGCCAATGCCTCTGACCCTGCTTGCCCTGTCAACGCGCTGGGCGAGCAGCTATGCCAAAGCTATGACCTGCCCTTTGCTCACACTGATGATGCGAACAAAAAGTGGGAACTCTTTAATGACTTTGCAGTACGTCTTCTCCTGCTGAATGGTGCTACTTGGGAAAAGGGCCCTCATGTGCGCGGGAGGCTGCCCAAGTTCCGGAAAATCCAAATGAGTGCTCCACAAGAAGCTGCTGGGAATTTAGCCTCACCGTACCTCCTCCTTCAAGCCTGTCTTCGGTCTTTGCGTGAATTAGCTTTCCGATTCGGACGGGTGGCCTCTGGTGCCGGTGATTGCCGTATTGCCGTACCTTCCATAATACACAGAGGAAATTGTTACGGAGACTCAAGGAGGCGCAGATCATTCCTCTGTCGATGCAGCAGTTGTTTGTCTATGATTTACCTCATTTGACTGACCTGACGCTTCATGTAATAGCTGGGGAGCTCAAGCATTTGAAATTTGCTGCCATCCGGAAATGGCGTGAGGCGATGAAGAATGCAACTACTTCGTTGGCTATTGGCAAGGTTGTCTATCAGTATCTCAAACGGAAAGGTCGTGTTGTACCTCAGAACCTCGTTGAAGATGATGTTGGCAACATCGTTTTTGACCCACAAACTGCCATGGATGTTATGGCGGAAAAATGGGATCCCGTTTTCTCGGTGAATGCCTCCCACCAGCATGAGATGTAGGTTTTGAAACAAGTTTGGCCGTATATCCATGACAAAGGGCAGGCTATTGTGCTGCCGCCAATCACTGAGTTTCAACTGTGGGAGCAAGCTGCTCGTCGTCGACCGGATGCCGCGGCGGGTCTTGATGGTTGGCAGACTCGAGAAGTTCAAGCCCTTCCACCCGCAGCATTTCGACCAGTTGCAGCGCTTTTCAACAGTATTGAAGCTGGTTCAACAGAGTTCCCTGTCATCCTTACACAAGTTCGCATGACCATACTGAACAAGGATGGCAGTGATGCCCCACTCTCTAAGCGTTTGATTTCTTTGCAGTCCATCTTCACCCTGCTCTACACTGGTCTTCGTTTCTTGCAGCTCCAGCGGTGGCAGCAAGAGGTGATGCCTCCTCAGTTGAAAGGTGGGGTTAAAAGCCGACAGAGATTGACCCTGCACATAGCTTTCAAGGCTTTTTTGCTGCTCTAAAGTTGGACAAGTCGAAGTGTTTTGACCGTTTGGTGCCCAAACTTTGCGCTGCTATTATGCTCGCCTTGGGGCTTCCATGTGGTTTTGTCACAGCATTCCTGGCATTGTATACGAGAATGACTCGGTTTCTTTCATTCAAACAATGGACAAGGGCGCAGCCGATCTCCACGCCGAATGGTGTTGTTCAGGGATGTTCCCTCAGCTTCTTTGCATCAATCTGCATATGGCCATCTGGGCATGGATTGTCAGCAATATTGAGGGTGTTGAGTTCAGAGCTTTCATTGATGACACATACCTGTGGACACGGTTGCCCTCCATTGATCGCTTGGTTGCTGCAGTCCGTGCCACCGAGCTTTGGGATTCTCTACGCGGGCAATTTCTTAACGCAAGCAAATGTGAAATCTTTGCGTCCAATGGCTCGTTGCGCAAGGCCATGAAGCAAGCTTTCCCTCAGATGAAATTGGTTGAGGTGGTTAACATCTTGGGCGCCTTCGTTCAAACCACCAAGAAGAATGTTGGCAGTTCCCCACCTTCCAAGCTTCAGACTGCCTTGCGTGATTGTGAAGCAATTCGAGCGCTGCCCTGTGATAGCTATACAAGACGAGCACAAATCATTGCCACCAAAGTGATGCCACAGGTGGCGTTCGCACCGCAGTTGAATTTCTTGCCTAAGCGGCTTTTGGCAAGGTTACAAAGTGCAATCGCGGATGCTCTTTGGCAAAACAGGCCTAAGTGGCGATCCAAGCATCTGTTGCTATGTGTGATCCACAAAGCCCATAAGTTGGATCCGTTTCTCTGTCGTGCAGTTACGACCATTGTGGAATCGGTGCGTTTTCTTCAATCTTCTGCCCATGCACGTCAGCGATGGCGGCAACTTTTACAGGATCAACTTACTGCACAAGCTTGGATGACTCAATTTTCACAAGCACGTCAAATTCTTGATATTCTTTGGACTGACTCCTTTGAGATCACTGCTTTTGACTCTGCAGCTGTGAACTTTTTGGACTGTTCAGCGCCCGACCTCAAGTGCGTTCTCAAGAATCTTGCCGCCAATAAATGTTACATTACTGCTAGTTTGATGCCGCGCAAGGGCATCCATGCCGCTGTTGGTTTTCTGGACCTCTCCTTAACTCTCTCAGCCAAAAAGAAGCTTGCGAATGTTCCCAATCCGGGCTTTTCCTTTTTATTCCATTGGGAGAGTGCATTGATTGGCTGTACACTGACAGCGGATAGGTTGGCAGCTGCGGGCCTCGTTGACAAGCCCAATTGTAGATTCTGTGATGCGCCCAAAGAATCCCTACAACACTTTGTGGATGAATGCCCTAGTTTGCCGTAAGACTTGAAGCAGCCTTCGACTACCTCCTTCTTTGGACCGAACTTTCTGACGTTGGGGATTGCTGAACTTCCGCTTGATGTCATCCGTGATAAATTGAAAGTCTCCAAAACCTCGGATCTACAAGTGTGTCCTTGGACTGCACCTATCGGCCCCGTGTTACATCTTTGGACTGATGGTTCAGTACAGCTCACCCACCAACCGTGGTTGACAATCGCTTCCTATGCTGTGGTGGCTTCTGATGAGTCTTTGAGATCTGTTGGACGTGTTTGGCATTGGAGGCTTTCAAGTTACAGTGCTGAACTCTGGGCCATTTTGGTTGCGTTCGCTGAGGCTTCGCAACCTCTAATTGTTCATACCGACTCATTGACCATAGCCAAGCAATTTGCCGTGCTTCTTCAGAATGACGCTGTGCAGCTGGAATGGACGCATGCTAACTGGTGGGGCTTCCTTCTCTCCCTACTCCACCAGCGGAGAGGACTCTTTGATTCTCCTTTGCAGCTGGTTTGGTGTCCAGCCCACTGGCTGGAAAACATTCCCGGTGAGGTACTTACCGAAGAAGAAGCAAGTGCAGCTGGTTCCACAAAGCAAGACATTATTCTGAATCGTTTGGCGGACCATTTTGCTAAGAAACACATCAGTGATCTTGCGACCGCTACAAAAGCTGATCTCACCATCAAGGAAACTGATGTCTTTGCTCGCCAGCTCTGGTTGGCTAAGATCAATAGAGCGTGTAAGCAGCCTACAGAGTCAGTACCTGCACGACCACCAATAGTTCCTCAAACGGGAGAGCACTTCACGGTTCGAGAAATGTGTCCTAAGTGGCCTTGGGACATTTCGCCGAGCCTGTACATGGCAAGTGCAAGTTGACATTGATATGCCTTTCAATGAGAAGAAGACTTTGTCAGCTGAAAACTTTCGGCAGCTGCAATGGAGGCTGGGCGAGCGGTTGGCCTGTTCAGTGTTTGAGCTTGCTGTATATGCCTTTGCCAAAGGCTGGCGATTCCAGCTGCCAGTTGGAACCTTGTGCACCCCCGAAGCTTATGCCAGCATCATTCGAGCTGGGTTTTCGTACTGCAAGCAAAAGCAAATTGTTGTGGCTCCGCTCTTGCTGGATAAAGGACATAAAAGCAACGGCAAAACATTTCCGCAGGGCGCTTTTTTGGGCGCCGAAGCATTCATTGACAATGCCAATGCTACACTTAAAATGATAGGCCGTGCTTTCGGCAAAGGAGCCAAAGAATCTCCTTTGTCTTGGTGTCTGCCGTTTGGTTCACTTCTGTAAAGTGTGATGATGTTTAGCTCGTTGGATTCATGACCTTCACCGCGGAAGCATGAAGGTTGCCTGTGGCCCTGATGTTGCGGCTTGAGAGTACAAAAAGGAAGCTCCCCCGCCTGAGGGCAGGGGGAGCCTCCCTGAAGAAGCGTTCGCACTAATGATTTGGTTCCTAGATGTTTTAGGGAAACTTGCACTTTAGTTTTGGGTGAGTGTTACAGTATATAGATGTTTGTGACTTGATTTTGTGAGCCGTGCTGGTGTTTGAGGGAGCTGAAAGGATGCCCCACTTTGACCCGGAGAAGCACAAGACGACCGACATTGTGCGTCAGGTGATCATCCCCATGAGTCAGGGTTCCAGCTACGGAGATTCAGCGGCTGCACTGGTCATGATGGAGGGCCGAGAGTTGCTACCAGGTCGGATGGTCACTCACAGTTGGTCCAATCGTTTCGCGTGCTTGGTGGCCTCAGTTGTCGCAGATGCCCTTGAGTTGCCAAGCTACGCATCCATTTTGCATAGGTTGGAGGGTGAGGGGATGCTGGCTCTGAAATCAGAGCTCTATTGGAAGAACAAACTCGATATCACTTACTGGATTTGCTGCTTCAGCATTAACCAGCATGCTGGCATTTGTGGCGTCGTTCCCAGTAACCTCCAAGACCCAGTGACAGGGGAATTACCCGAACCATGTCCATGTGCGCACCACAAATATTGGAGTGACTCTGAGCCATTGAAGGATGGACAGAGTGTGAAATGCGAAATGAACAAATTTGATGACATGATGAACTGCATTTATTCCTTGAATCCCAAGTGCAGCCAAGTCATCGCTGTAGATTTGGATTTTAATTTGTTCACGCGTGCTTGGTGTGTGGCGGAGATTCATCAAGCTCAGACGATGTCCATGTCGCAGCGCATGATCATTTTCTCTGAAGAGAACTTGAAGAAGCATGAAGTTTGGCTTCATGACCTGAAAGTGCAGGCAAGCGGGGCGAGCGGTTGCACAATGTTGAACTCTGAGTTTTTTGATGTCTCAGGATGTCGCAGAAAATAACTCTATGGTTCATTGCCAATCACTGTTGTGTAATTTCCTTCACTCAATCATGTCCAGGAGATGAAGGCCTCAAATCCTCAAGACGTGGCCTTTATTTTGTCAAAGATCGACGATCCCCAGCGGTTTGATGCTGAAGTGAAGAACTTGGTGTTTGGCAATGGGGGTCTAGTACAAGCTTGCCACATGGGCTTTGAGCGCGTCTCCTTGTTGGGAGCCGTTGCTCAGCAGGGCTTTCATCGCTCTTTGACATCGACGATCAATTAAGCCCAGGCCCAGGGCCGGCGAGCACAGAGAGAAGTTCTAGACCTTACTAGACCTTCCATGTCTAGTTTCCAGACCTTAGGATCCTTATGGCTGCTTGAGCTCAGTGCTCAAGAAAAGCGACACAAGCTGGCCTGGCAGAGTCCAGGCCGCCAATTCGTGTGTGTGTGTGTGTTGGTTGTTGATGTGTAAATAGTGTGGTTATTGAACAGTGGTGGAGCAAGATAGTGCAAATGACCCGAGTAATTTGGTTCGACTCTGTCATTGTCATTTTAGAAGCTTCAACTCTGATGGTAGCTTCTTTTGCTTCCACCATCAACCTTAAGCCAGCGGCAAAGCCCGCATGTACAGAGCCTGAAGACAGCGCAGCTCACAGATAGCTGATGCATGCTGATGCGGAGGCAGTTCATTAAAACTCAGTCAAAATTGGCAAACCATGGGCTGTTTCCCATGGGTTTTGCTCAATCTTCCAGGCCTTCCGTACTCATGGCTTTCAAGACTGTACAGGCATACCCCCACACAGGACAATGCGGGACATAGATCCTAAAAAGCTTTTTTTTGCACGTACGTGTGTTTCTTCTCCATCATGGGCAGCAGCTGATGCTCAGTCGGGATTGGGGGGAGTTGAGAGTGTGATGATGCAAATTATGGTTCCCTGGCAGGTAAGGAGCCCATCCGTTTGAACGTGAAACAGCTTGGCCTGGAGCCTTTGCATTTGTGGAACGATCTCCAAATCCGTGCATTTTCACAATTGTGCACTAAAGGCAGGTTATATAATGGTGACAACTGGAGGTCCAGGACGTTTCTCCTGTGGTCACTATCAGTTGGAGGCCGGCAAACCTGAGTGGAATACAAAAAAGAAAAGACCGCAGCTACTTAACGTGGGCTGGCGGCATTTACTGGTCGTAGTCTCGGAATCTATGTCAATTTCGGTGCATGAATCCGTTCATGGGATGCTGACATGCACACTTGGCGTCCTTGGAACAGGTGGAGCAAAGCAGCCAGTACAAGATTGAGATGCCGGCTTGGTTAAGTGTTCAGCCCTCCCAAATGTCAACTCTGTGTTTTGTGGTTCAGACCTGGCCCAGTGACCCTGTAGATTTGGGCCGTCGGTAGTCAGTAGAACCAAAGTCCAAAGTCAACACTGCTTTACTTAACGTTTGCCACTGGTCCACTCTCATGGCAGGTGTGGGAAGACTGCAAGCAGAAGAGCAAACAGTCCGTTTGGGAGCGTTGAACCTGTTGAGGCCAGCATGGTGAAACAAGCCGTCAACTCCAAAGCTATGTCAATGTCAGCTTTATCATGCATTAGGTGGGAGGCCATCGCTCTTAGGTTGAAGGCCATCGCTATCAGGTTGGAGGCCATCGCTATTAGGTTGAAGGCCATCGCTATTAGGTGGAGGCCATCGCAAGTAATTAGGTTGGAGGCCATCGCTACTAGGAGCAAGAAGCTACTAGGTTGGAGGCCATCGCTATTAGGTTGGGTGCTCCACAATTCTGAGTCGCCTATGTGGAAGCTTGGGGGTGGAAAGATTACTTCCCGTCACCAGGCGATCAGGCGGAGGACCCACGTTTCCGACCATAAGGCCAGTACACTGAGTTCGGTGACCTGGCTACTTGAAAGCAGAAACACACATGGCAGTGTCAATGCCACCGAAGGTATTGTTTGGATTTTAGATGTCTTGTTCGGCGCTTTTTCTATGGCGCTTGGCTTTGCAAATCTACTTGCACATATTGCCCTGGAGTAGCTTTGCCATTGGTGCACGTCCAGCATTTAAGAAGCATGGGCCGAGGCCAGGGTTTGTCCCTTTGCGGACCCCTTTCACCCGCCGAAAAAGATCGGGCGCTCTTCTCTAACTGAACCAATTTCATGGCTGCACTATATTGAGCAAGCTCCAATATCAAAAGCAACACCTCCTCTCAGAAGCCAGTGGCTCAGGAGCCCTTTAGAAAGTTTAGAGGAAAGAATCCTTATGGTCAGTGACCCACGTCAAAGATGCCAACGGGTCTTGTTGAAGGAGCAACCTTTTGGTTTACTTTACATACTCCAAGTTCAGCGTGCCATAAACACAGAATTTTGGTCAACCACATTCCAATTCCAAGCAACAAGTCCACTGGGATTTTGAACCATGAGACACGCCATGACCCAGAGGGCAGGCAGGGAGCAGGGCATCAAGTTGTCGAAGGCTTCCGGGTTTGCAACATGGTTTGCATATGTTTGCATGTTTTTGTTGCTCTGAAGAGAGCACACGATTTGCGATCAGCATGTGCCGCCACCTTCCAGATCGGGGTTGGACAAGCTTGGCTTGATTATGCTTGATTATGGTTGATTATGTGTTGGTCTCGAAACATCTCGAAACGAATAGAGTGCCATTGGGCACCTAAGTCATTTACCAAAGCCCACATCCTTGTCGCAGGGACCGGCCGCAAATTGGCATCTTGGGCAGTTGTGCCTCGCTTACATAGAGAGGCGACTCCCCACCTGTACCATCTCTGCCGGTTTTGCACCTAAGGTGATGCCTTGCCTGTGGCTTGTTTGTGGGGCCCACCAGGCGAGAGATAGTTTTGCAGGGACTCACGAAATGAAGAAAAGCTGTCTTTGCCAAAAGGTGCTACATACATGATTGTTGCGACAATTTTTGTAGTCCCTACGTTTTTGGCGGAGCTCACAAAGTAACTCGAAGATACTCGAAGCATATACTGTAATGGGAGAGTCCCAGAGGCATGTGTATATATATATATAATACAGTATATAGTTCAACGCAAAATTCCGCAAAGGTTCAACATATTTTAGAGCACAATCCTGGAGAGTTATATAAGTTTTGCACATTGCTTTCTGCCCAGTGGACATTTTGCGGTCCATCCACTCGCTTGGCGTCCACTAGAGGGCTTGATGCTGAGTTGGAGCTGGGCAAGTGCTGCCGGTTTTTGGTTTCTCTCAACAGGCCTCACTCAGGGGTGAGACAAGTCACAAGTCCGCACTCACATGCAGCCATCCCGAGCGACTCCGAGCCTCAGTTTCGTGTTACTTGTCAGCCTTTAGCCAGCCTCTGAGCCTCACTTTATACAAAACTCCACCTTGACAAACCATTTCTTGAGGTGCTGTGCACGAGCGGCTGCGAAAGAGATCCAGGCTCTCCAGTCAAAGGCTAATCTGAAGCTCATCCAAGCCATGACCTTGGGCCTTTGTGGTTGCAGAACGTTTCCCCAGATAACCCAAAAGAAACAATAAGCATGTGTTTCCTGAAAGGCTCAAGTGGCTGCAGGGCACAAGATGAAAGACCTCGGCAAGTCTTTATTCTCGACCAAGTTCAAGGTCGGCACTTGATCAAGCTGCGACTGAAAAGGGCTAGCAAAGAGAGCACAATGCTGTGCGGGAAAAGAGGTTTAAAGATATTCTCAGACCTCCTTGTTGTTGACAACGGATTTGCTCAAACATTTCAAGCACATGGGCGTTTGGTGCCAACCCTCACGCTGGTTTGCATGTTACAGCTCCCATGGAGGCCACTGCCCTGGAAGGCAGTGCCGAAGTCACGTACGTCGCCCCAGTCAGCGCCAAGGCAACCCTCCACAACAGAAGCCTTTCGATTTGGAAAAGAGATGGGAAGAGTGTGTATGTATATGTATATAGTAGATAATATATTTAAAACAATAGTGGAACATGCAGTCTTGACGTGGCTCAAGAGTCTGTTGAACATGTGCGACCTCATGCGATAGCTGCCTCTCATAGGTAGCACATTGGCAGGCTTCACCGGGCAGCCGGCCATGGCTGAGGCTCCGCTTCCAGACAGAGACAGGATGAGACGGGCAGACGAACTTGCAAGGATGATGGTTGACAAGAAATGAGTGTGATGCAGCTGCATCCTCCAGATGCTGTGTTTGAGCGTGGCCTTCTCTTTACAGACACGGGGCAGAAGCGGCTCATCCATCCAAATGTAGTGGGTGGTCATCCCGAAGAGCTGTCCAAAATCCTTACACAATGAATTCTCCCTCGTCACAGTATCCAGGCTGAAGCCGCCCAGAGAATCTGGGATTTCTTCCCACGGAGATTGGAATGGCCCGGTGCAGCGGGTTCTAAATGCCCAAAGCTAGAGGAGATCATGGCTCGGATGTAAGACTACCCAGAGGCCCAGCGGCGCGTGAAAAAAGATTAAACAAGTCATCGACAGGAGGGTTGACAGCCTGGCACGCGGATGGTTCGCGGCCTGATTCGTGAGCCTTTGACTCGAGAAGTGAATTGTTGGCCTTGCCAATGAAGCAGTTCTCCAATCCGCGGTGGTGCTTGGAGAAGTGTCAGATGCAGAAGGGCGGAAGCGGGAGCATGACCAGCGGGAGATGGTCAACATGAGCTCCATTGGCCATGTGTGCCTTCTTCCAGTTAGTCGACATTTCTTCCGAACACGTTGGTATTGAGGTCGGCTCCGGACAGATTTTGATGGTTTCTTCAAAACTGGCGTGCCGCCGGATGCGCGTTTCACCGCGACCTGCATGGTCATAAGCTGGATGCTGAAGGAGTCGTTGAGCATCCAGATTCTGAAAATCGCCATTTGAAACAGGACCCACCACAAACTTGCTTCCATAGAGCTGTTCCGTGGATTGTGCTTATATACTGTACTAGATCCAACTTGATGCAAAGACCCAGGTTTGATGGCATGCAGAACCTTCGGGCAGTTGACATCAAGGAGCCGGTTGAAACCAATACCAATGCAGGTGATTGCAGAAATACAGTAGTCTAGTAGTCTAGTATATAATTCAAAAACTAGTGCGAACATGGAGGTTGACTTCGTCATGGGACAGATTGTTGATGTAGTTGTTAAGATGTTTGCCCGGCAAATGGTGGTGTCCAATTTGACATAATTTCTTGTGAATTTAATTTGATGTGAAGTCAGCTCCATTTGGCATACTTGGTTGCCCTTCAAACGTGCTCATGTTTGATCCGTGGTATTTGTGTTTTTCTCTCTTGAGAGAGGATTTAGAGCAGCTCTCCTTTGGGCCACACAGCATGGTTGCCAATGTTTTTCAGGGTTTATTTAACTGAGTTCCCTGGCCAGCCAGAAAAGTCAGTGAGAGAGTCGCCTTGTTTTATTTAGATTTGGAATGCCCCCGAACACCAGCAAACATCAAGACACCCACAACAAGCTAAGCATTGCCAAATGACCGGAAAAAGCGGATTGAAGACCTCTCAGGAGGATGCCCTCTCCAAAGCTGGAAGTGCCAATGCGCTTGCAGAGGTGGAGCCCATCCGGGGGCCCAATTCGAAACGGAATATGAGAGTATGACTCAGTATGACCAGAGAAAGAACGAACTACAATTGTTTTCTTGTCTAGTTACTAATTACTTTTCCTAATTAAGACATGGTTGGACATGTGAATGTGGCGAATCAGTACAAACATTTGAAGAATGAGCAGATGTGAGATGATGCTAGATAATGTGAATCGGCCGAGAATTGAAATTTGTTTTCAAAGGGTCAGTCGTGGTCCTGCCACTACATCCAAACTGTACTGAAAATACACCTGTCTCTCAGCCTTGTGGCTTCCAGGAACTTCTGAAGGCCTTGCAGGATGGCCATGACCAAAGCACCAGAGGCCTTTCATCGATTGAGGGCTCAGGTACCAACACGTCCCAAACCCATCACCGGCAGTTTCTTTGACATGTATGGAATGAAGCTACAGGTGAGATGTTCATGACACATCATGGCAAACTAGAATGGTACTTCGTTCTCCCGAAGCAATGGTGGTAAAAGTACGAATGTCCGGTTACATCAAAGTTTGTGTGTGTGGAGCGTGGGGCACCCTATAGCTTCTACGATTCAATACGCATTGCAGATTGTATCTTCGACGGCTTTGTCAGGTTCAGAGGAGCAGGTATGGTCCCTCTACCAAAATTATCCGGAGTTGATGCAGGCAGGCCCAGTGCTAGTGGGATCCAGCTGCTGTGAAGGAAAGGCTTCCAAGACCTGTGCTGCTGGAAGGGTATTGACGAATGTTGTTCTCGTAGAATGTAACATGGGCCATCAGATAAGAGTCTTGTCAGATTTTGGATGGTACGACTGCCAATATTCAATATTTCCTTTCAAGCCTTTGTACACCTTGAGGTTCCATCATGTTTCCTTTGAATGTAGGGGCTGTGCTTGGAGTCTAGGTTGATTCAACATATATAATCACGCCAACCTTGAAAAATAGCACATGCAGATGTGCCTTTTCTTTGCCGAAAGATCCATATCGTATATATATATATATATATATACTGTACTTTGTTTGCTGGAATGATCTGGAAAGGCTCCACTGACCCAGATTGGTGCTGGCAACACTGCACAGGACTGGCCTTCAGCCCCACACCAGCAAGAGAATGGATGGCACTTAGAGATTGGTAGTGTTTGCCGGAAGGTGTCTTCCAGATCCTTTGGCAATAGCTCAACCAGAGCAACCAATGCAGGACTTTCTTCTTTGAAGCTTTGCGCTTGTGGGCAGGATTTATGGGCCAATGTGACCAAGACCAACGAGACCCTTGCTTTGGCAGAGGACAGCTTCGCGGGCCACAAGTCAAAAGATTCAGAGGACCCTGTCTGCCAGGAGCTCTTCCATCATTTCGATGAAGACAAGGCAAGGTGTGTTGCAAAGAGTGCCACTGAGATTGGTTGCAACAAAGAATGAAGGACTCATGCAAGGTTGATGTGTACTTCTCAGGACGGCTATTGGAACTTCAAAGAAACATCGAAAGTTCAGCTGGCAACCGAGGGCTCAGAGATGACAGCATTGAGCTCAGATTTAATGATTTTAGCGTGTTGATGTGTGCTGCACTTGCTGTACATTGCTTGATTCACTGGCTCGTAAGCACGTCATGCCTTTTTGCTTTCGTATGCTTCGTACACGTGTGGTTGCACTCAAGGAGCAGCTCCGGCTCGCCTCACCCTGGCCGCCCCGCCATGGCAGATGGCGAGCGCTCCCGCAGGTCCTGCGAGAGTGAGGCACGGCGGCGGAGCGCCACGACAGAGGGTCGGCTGCGTGTGAGCCAATCGTTGAGTCCCTGGGAGATGGAGAAGAGCCCAAAGACATCGAAAACCAAGACACTACTGAGTCAGTGGCTTGGCTACAATGCCTTGAAGCCGAAGTAAGGCGGAGCAGAAAATACATGGTGATGTAATAATCCCCCCGCATGGTTTCTTATTTGGGGAGGTGTCAGAAGGCCGGAGGTCTCTTTAATTCGGTTTGGGGGGGTGAATGTGGACTCTTCATGGGGCTGGATCCCCAAGATTACGTCTTTTCACGAGGAGGGTGAGGTGGGGTCTTGCATGTGGCCCAGATAGGCTCACATGGTATTACTGTAAATGAGGAAAGAAGGGAGGAGATTGGATTGGGAAGGAAGACTGCCCATGAGTACACATTGGCTGGCCAGATGGGAAAATAAGTGGACCTGCAGGGTATCCTGAACGGAGAATGCATTTGCTGCACCTATCCTCCAGTTTGGCCAATGAGTTTCACTGGATGGCCAATGCAGAAGGCATGAGCCAAGAATGAACCACCAAGAATGAGCCAACATCAGAAAAATAAGCAGGGGTTGGAATTGAGTTGTGGAAAGGCCTTAAATGTGCAATAGGGCCTTACGGACCATAGGGTGAGGGATTCTGGGAAATCTCAGAGTGGTTTAATATGGTTTAATTGAATTGGACCAGGGTTGTTTGTAACTTGCAACATTGGACCATAGGATGAGGGATTAGTGGAATCATAGGGCTTGATGAAAGGAAAGAAAGGAGGTTCACTAACTGGTGTGTCAACAAATTGTCACCAAAAAAGGTGGACCACACTAGTTTGCTCAAAAAATTGGTCTGATGGTTTTTGAAAGGCGTTTACTATCGCAGGGCCCAAATTGGGGGCCATGTAAATCCTTTGATGTAAATCCTTTGTTTGCATTCAAGGTCTTGGTTGATTGAGGCCTCACACTCACGTTTGTTAGTTTTTCCGGGCTGGCAGCGGCAATGTTTCTTTGTGAAAGACCAGCCAACAGATTCGCGGAAGTATATACGTGTTTTTTCCACGAAGAATTGCGTTTCCAAAAGAAGGAATTTAGATCAACCACATGCCGCGGTCCTGTGTCAAAGAGCTTCACACATCAACCAAGGTTGGAGAGGCAACATGTCCGCTTGCGTCAAGAGATTGAGGGCTGGCGAACTTTCCTGCAAACAGATAGCACGAGGTCACAGTCACAGGGCCCAGAACTTCTGGCCGTCGAACCCATTATGGATGAGACTGACAGCTATGGCCGGAGCAACAGGCAGCAGTACAAAGCACATTTGCAGCTCAGGTGACTTTCCTTGCATGATTCAAAGGTTGAGACTGATTGATTGGTTCTTGCTGAAAAATAACATTGCTGAAACATGCTGGAACAATATGTTTTGCAAAAACTGTTAACCCTTCACGTGGTCATGGGCCCTTGAGCACCTCAAAGTCAAACAGTGGGACAATGGTACACGGCGACTGTCAAAGACCTCAAAGAAAATCTCAAGAAATGATCAAAAGCAAGAAATGATCACCGAGGCAAGAATTGGGAGTTCATTCCTGGAGCACTGAGCCCTTTACTCTCGACGAGCTGTTGAGAATTGTGGTGAGGACCCGTGCGGCGACGGCCAGAAAGTGGTGCCTAGCAGATACTAAGTGGCGAAGCATTTGGGAACCGGAGACTTGCTTGATTCATCAGGCATTGCATGAAGGTTGTAATGTTCGAAGCACCTTGATTCTTTCCCAGAATTACCACCCCTGCTTTTTCGTGGGCCCAACTTCAACAAGTATTTGGAGATAGTCGAAGTTCTCTCCTTGCCATTCGAGGAGGCGGATACCTTCTCCAGCATTTGCTGGACCTTGGCAACCTTCACGTTGTGTTTTGCGAGGGGCTTGCTGTTTTGGTCATGGCTTTGTGGAGGGAGCTGGCTATTGGCAACGCTGTTGAGGCCCACCGTGCACCAGTTGCTCCAAACCATGGCCTTGGTGATGAATATGTCGATCCCAGAGGCCTTTGCACCTTTGGACTCTTCACTGCAATGGACATATGAATGTGATTGAATGTGAACATATGTCAACCATAAATCAACCATGTCCACATCGACCGGCAGGTGTGCTACTGCACATGTTCAAACAGTGATAGACATGGCAGCGAGAGCTAAGCCCGCACAGAGTGAGAGAGAGAGAGGGTACAGTATATCAGTATATCGTCATTGTACAGTATATCGCGATTGCCTGCCGGGTTGAAAGCCACCGCCAAGCCACCGCGTGTTTTTGTGAGTTTGCCGCAATCAGTCCTTGCCTGGACGTCAAGGATTTGCTGAGCTTTGGCCTGGCTATGGCCCTCATGGGTTTTGGCACGTTGCTCACTGCAGGCTTGACAGAGGTGTCCTTCTTGCCTGCGAAGGCCATTCTGAGCCTTGAGCGGAAGGCAGAGACAGAGAAGGTGCGAGAGCAACTGGCAATCCTGTTGCGCAGTGATTGCTGCAGCAATCTGGACATTTGCAACTTCTTGTCCCTAGGAAGGGTGGGGAAAGCATGTTGTAACAAGTGTGTATGATAGTGAGATACAATCTCACTGAATGAGTGACTTGAAAATCTTGTGAGAATAGCTTGACAATTATATAACTTGTGGCATGATGCGATGGAAGTTACATTCTGATCACGAATGACCCTGCCAGGGATGGCCACATATTTCAACTCTTCCGAGACGCATAAGGAGGGCCGATGCTTTGTCAGGCGCCATGAGACAGCTGAGGATTACTTCATGAAGCGACGGCGGCGGCACTGCTCCATTTGTTGTTTGCGGTGCGACTGTCGTTTGCAGCTGCGCTTAGAGGGCAGGAGCTCGCAGGAAAGATGGTTGGTCCTGCGCAAAGATGGTATAGCACTCTTCAATTCAATGATGGACTCAGATCCTACTGACATGCTGTTCTTTGATACTAGCTTCGGACTGTTTCGCGACGAGGAGGACCATGTTTTGGTAAAGGGAGCCAGTTGGGTTCTTGAACTCTCTTTTGGTGACCAGAGCCAACATCGTCGGCAGATGAGCGCACAGGGCTGGTGCAATGCGATCACCTTGACCGCACAGCTTTCTGCCCGCACGAGGCAGCAGCGCTTCGGTTCTTATGCCCCGTTGCGCATGCCCGGCGCACCCAAACAAGGGGACCGGCACTTGCTGCGACAATGCTTTAGTCGCTACCTCATCAACGGCCGTGCGATTTTTCGCTCAGTGGCTGAAGCAATCATGATGGCCAGACATGAAATTTTCATATTGAGCTTCTTCATGAGCCCGCACATTGAGCTAGTGAGGGAAGGAGCGCCATTAGCAGGAGCAGATGACTGCAAGGTTTCCACCTTGCTCAAGTCTGCGGCAGAGCGAGGCGTGCGTGTCTATGTGCTTTTGTATCATGAGACCATGAACTTGGTGCCCAACGACTCTGGCTATGCAGAGGCAGAATTAAAGCATCCAAACATTTTTGTGATGCGACACCGGAGCCGCTTCGACAGCAACTTGCTTTGGACTCATCATGAGAAAGTGGTTGTTGTCGATCAGCAGCTCGCGATTGTGGGGGGCTTGGACTTGTGCATTGGACGGTATGATGACTGGCAGCACCGCATTGCGGACTCAGATGCCACCCTTTGGCAAGGCCAGGACTACTACAATCCGCGGATCAAAGATGTCACAGAAGGGCGGCTGCAAAACGATTTGCTACAGAGAACGAGCCAACCACGTTTGCCCTGGCAGGACTGAGAGTCTCATAAATATGCAAACACTGGGAGGTAGCTCGATATGCTGCACACAAACAACTGAAAGAGTGAGCTTGATACATCTTGATACGTTTTTGGGGTAGAGATTGTCACTGTTGTTTTTTGCCACCATGCTCAGCAGACAAATGATTAGGTCACAAAGCATGGACCAGAAATAACTGGGCTCTGCAACGCAAGATTGTCATTCAAGAAACCTTTGAGCCGGAACGTGTAGGTGTGCTTGAGATGAGTCAGACAAGGATAGAGGAAAAATATAGTTTGACTAAGTGTCATGATCCAGTACATGTTTGACTATGTTGCCATGTGTATACACTATTGTGCTGAAGCACGGAAAACTCCGTGAGACAACTTCAGACTCCAGACCATTTGATGAGTCTCGCCATTTGTACCACAAGAGGACGTGGCGTGTGAGTTGTTGGGCCGTCCAGCGCGGGACGTTGCACGGCACTGTGTGGAGCGGTGGAACCACGCGAGGTTTGTGAACTCCATCTACGAAGAGCTCCCGGTGGCTATGCTGCGGAGGAAGGCGATTGGCAGGGAACGGCGCATTCCAAACATTGATAATTGATAGGACATTGCGAGGTTTAATGAGCTGACATTGTAGCTTACAGATGTTAAACGTATTGAAAACATCTTGAACTATGCCAGATGTCGTAAACAAGGGCCCACCCAAGTTGTAATTGTTGTGAAAGTTGCACAACATTGTTGACGACAAGAATGAGTGTGAAAGTGGACCAACATGGTAGCAGTTGATTTTAGCATGTTTTTTGCAGATGGCGGTGACCAACGATAAGATGGTGACCCTGCCAGCGCAAGCAAGCGAAAAGGTGTGGCCACCAGAGCAAGGCCCATGGCAGGTATGCCGCGCCCAAGTCATACGCTCAGTGGGCCGTTGGAGCGCAGGCACTAAGACAGAGTCTTCCACACACCAAGCCTACTGTGACTTGATCCAGGACTCCAAGTATTTCATTTACATTGAGAATCAATTCTTTTGCTCCGGGATGGAAGGGGACATCAACATCGGCAATCGAGTCTTAGAGGCTCTTTACAGGCGTGTCATGAAAGCACATGAGCATGGGGAGCGCTTTCATGTCGTGATTGTGTTGCCTTTGCTGCCGGCCTTGGAAGCGCCGCTGTGTCAAGCAAACGCCTCTTCACCTGTGTTTCGAGTGATGCACGCTCAGTACTGCACCCTGCGGGGACTGCGGTCCCGGCTGCGTGCCGGGGGCATTGATGCTTGGTCTCCGCATATCTCTATTTTTGGGCTGAGGACTCATGGCTTCCTGCCAGGCTTGGGCCCCGCCACTGAGCAGATCTATATTCATTCCAAAGCCATGGTGATTGACGATGAAGTAGCACTAGTGGGTTCTTCCAACATCAACGATCGATCCCTGCTCGGCATGAGAGACTCGGAGGTGAATGTAGTCATCCAAGACGAAGGCCTTGCCAGCCTGGGCCCAGCATTCCGGGGAGGCTGCCCGGCCAACCTGCGAAAAGCGCTCTTTGCGCAGCATTTAGGCCTCAACCAAGAGAAGTTGGAGGACGCCAAGCTGATTGAGCAAAGCTCTTAGTTGGGGAGGGTTTGGGACGTTGCGCAAGAAATGGTCAAGTAGAAAAGGTTTGAAAGTTACCTTGGGATGAATGCTACAGATTCATACGCGGACTTCCTTGGCTTGTGCAGAGAGAGCACATTAATGTTGACGGAAGTATTGGAGTGTTAGGAATCCAATTCGAAGGCACAAGTGCCGTCCCAACAGACCAACCGAGGATGTCTTCGATAACCTCAAACGAGATGCCTGGGTGGGCGAGATGCGGCGCTTGGCAAGGCGTAATACTCAGGTCTACGATGATCTGTTCGGAGCGTTGCCTTCGGACAACGTGCAGACCTGGCAACAGCTAGCGCAGCAGCAGAAGCAGGCACCAAATATCAATGCAGACTTCACCCGAATCCCTTCAGAAGAGGATGCAAGAAAAGCACTTGTGGAAGTTCAAGGATACTTGGTTGAATTTCCTTTGGATTTCCTGGCGCAGGAGGACCTGACACCATCTGTGATGGGAGGTCTTTTGGGCCCGGTCTTCACATAGTTTACGTTACCTGCATTATTTGACAGCTGGCATGAGGACTTGAAACCCTGAAAGGGATGCCTTTTATGCCACAATGTCTGTCACTTTTTGATTGGAACGAATGCTCCTCGGGAGGCATTCCGAGTCTCCAGTCTCATGTTGTCGGACTGTACAGATGTGCTTGTCCGTAACTTTTGCGCGTTAACTAACTACTGAAAATTGCAAGAGAGAACCTGCAGGTGGTATCATGTGGCAGAGTTGTAAGGCATGTTAACTTTGCATAGTCAGATGATTGTCCAATGATTCTGACATTATGGTTACAGTAGAATCGAGGAAGAATCCTTCAACTCCCTCATCATTGCCGCAGCCCCCAACGGAGGTGCTTGGTGCATGACCATGTCGAGAAGAAGTTAACAGGATAACATGCCCAGATAGAGCAAGTGAAGTTGGCACAAGATGGATTTAGGGGCCTACTACCGCAGAAGTGCCCATGTGCAAGAATTATGTGGAATTGGCTGACTACACCCAGCTGTGTGATTCAGTTGCAGGAAGGCACTTGACTGAAGAGGACATGGACCGCGGCCTTTCAAAAGAGCAAGTCCTGGAGTCTTCCTAGCTTGTTTCCAACATGAGAGTCGAAGTCAGGGCATTCCTTGGTTGGCATGTTGAAATTCATACAGGTGAGTTTCTGCTCAGACGTCCGGGGCAGATAAGAAGAGAATATGCTTGGTGCATGTGGGAAAAGGTATGCTCATCAGACTCTTGAGGTAAGAGGAGAGAAGATGGGTTTGCCCCCACTTGTCCGCGTTCAGAACTTTCATACACCCGTTCTAGATAACCGATCAATACTTTTTGCGCCAGCCTCTACACAAGCGCGCAGCGGCAGCGCCAATTGGGCTTCGTTTTGGACATCAAGAAGGACCGATTTGTGTGAGAATAGTTTGGCTTGTGGCAACTCTTGAGCTTCAGGAATCCAAGAAGAAGTAGGATTAGCCCCGAGTATAGGATTGACTTATTAGGCCGACAGGCTTTGCATTGCACCTCATGCCAGGACCATGCACATGTATTCTCCAAGGTGGGCATGTGGATGCGTGTGGCGAAGTTTAAAAGAGGACACTTAGCCTAGATTGACATACAGTACTGTGAACCTGTAGATTGGTGCAGGAATGTGGTGCGCATGTGAATCAAAAGCATTTGTACCCTGGGTCGGATCCGCTGCAGCGTGCTTGTCATAGTCAGGGTGGTTTGCTTGGAATTTCTGGGGATGGATCTGTAGCTTGCAAAATGCCTTGGCTCACATCACCTGTGCGCTTGGTCACGAGCGACTCGCAGTTCCCTTGAACCACCCCACGGCCCGCGTCACCACACAAAACATTGTCTGGCATCACCAGATGACAGATCACCACGCACCACAATTCCGATCATTTGGCCTGTAGGTTTATACTTACTTTTGACGCGTTTTGCACCTGCCGGAGAATACCTCATAGTTATTAATTACGTATCATTATAGCAGCAGCTACTAGTAGCAGGGGCATACAAAGGGCATTGCTACTAGTAGCAAGAGTAACAAGGTGCCTGACTAGTAGCAACAAGAAGATACTAGTAGCTCCTGGCCTTACTACTAGTAGCAAGAAGCTACTACACATATATATATATATATAAGTATGTTTGGATGACCGTTCTACCTTTGTGGCATCTCTCGATGGCATGGAATGGATTGGCAGAATAGACTCAGTTGTCACACGAAGGTCAAAGAGGCAGAGACCCAGCCACAGCAAGACACTGAGAAGTGACTAGTTCAAAAGAGAGAGGGGGACAAAGGGACCCGCCTCGGTTTGAAATGTCCAACGTTGTTTTCTTGATTTATATATATAGATATATATATATACTTACTGTGTTCTTGTTGCGGCGGGCAAAAGGCGATCATATCCTTTGTGAGAACTACTTAGCCCTGCTTGGCTGAGGTCGAAGCAGTCATTAGCAGTCGACTGATTCTGACCCATTTTGATGGAAACAAGCTGTCCAAAGATAAGCACCACAAGTGTTTGTTGCGATGTTTGTGACTATCTGACCATCCATCGGCAAACTTGGCTGATCGATTCCTTGCACGGTCAGGAGGTGCTTGTTTCTTGATATTCCGAGCCCTATGCTCCAAACAAGTTGCCGACTACCTGCATTCTAGAAACAGACAGCTGGCTTTGTTGAGTGATGCCAGATTTGAATAACAAAGCTGGCAAAGACATCGTGCCAAATCTGTAATTGGCATCGCTTCTTATCCAATGGTGGTCCCTATCAATTCCGTTGATGCATATGCATTCCGCGGATTTTGCGATATGAACATCATCAAATTATGTTAATATATATATATAGATACCTATAATTTTTTGATATTAATATATTAATGAATATATAAATTGAATTACTATAATATTAATTATGCAATTATATTATTAAATGCCAATTTAAATATTATATATATTATATTTTATGTATTAAAAAATAAATATATTTAATGACAAATTTGTTTATTTTAATATTAAATTGAATATATTTAGTATTTTTTAACAATAATATATAAATAATTATATATAATAGGAATATTATAATAAAGGATATGATTTTTAAAATATTATACTTAATATATATTAAGATTATTTAAAATATATATATATAGATTATTCTTTATAATATGGATTGGGGCGCGATTGAGCAAAAATACATGGATTTTTGTAAAAAAAATTCGAATTAATTAAATTATTTTTTATTTTTAGTTTTGGTTTTTTTATAATGGATTTTCGATTTCCGTCGCGATCCGGACCCTATTTTTAATAAATATATTATTTTATATATATTGCAATATTTAAATATAATAAATATTTTAATTATTTCACATATATTATTTTCGTCTTGGGGCATGTTGCATTAAATAATTCCGCTATATTCCGACATCGCGGGTTCGAATCCCGCATGGCCTACCCTAAACAACATTTTATTCGCAATGACCGACCCTGGATTTATATTTCTTATTTCGTTTTTACATATTTATCGAATACTAACGCTTTCTCCTGCAATTTTCGAACGCGTGCGTAACAGAATAAAATTTTACCATAATATTCTATTTTTAACAGCATTTGACGCTTTGATAAAGTATATTTGTGCGGCAATATTGTATGGATAAATTTTAATTTATTTGATATTTTGAAAGATTTTGTATGTATTTGATAATAATGCATTAAAATTTTTTCGACCTGTATCTTTTGATATATATACACATACGGTCATTTGTTCCATGTTTTGAATGACCTTCTGTTCGAGTTGCCTTTTGCAATTTCAATAAAAGGTCTTGGCATTGTTGGCAAATGCGAGACAGCTAGGTGCAAATTAGCATTATCAGATTATATGATATTTTTTGCAAAAATCATGGACATCGCACAATATTGTGTATAAATTGCAGGCAGCTTCTTGCACAGAAGCATTATGAAAAGAAATTTCTTTGCAAGCACAGATTAGGTTTTCTCAAAATTGATAATGCCCTAATTAATTCGATTTTTAATTCTTTACCATAGTAGTCCTGCTGCTGCTGCCATTTTGCCACTTGCGTGTGGCCCGGCAGAGGCGCAGCTACTTCCGGGACTCACAATCTTGAAGTCATAAATAGCCGAAACAATGCTAGGCACGGTATATATTCGCGATATCGATATTAATTTTGCTTTCCAACATTGCCAAAAATAATGTAAATATGTTCGATTCTCATGATATGGAATATCGGAGCTTTTTCTACCGATCGTTTGCACTGTTTGTTGTTTGCCTTCCTGGTTTTTACCGTGGATTTGTCCACGAGTTTTGCGGCCAGGTTAGAAGGCGAAGATAAAGCCAGGGAGATTGCTACCTTGCCCTTGCAGGAGGGTCCAGCTAAAAACATACGATCCAATAGCTTATTAAATATATGCTAAAATATTATAATCTATATAGTATATTTGTGCACTATATATTTAGGAATACGCTATCGGCTTGCTGCTTCAGACCTCTCGAACAAGGGACCGAGCTTAGCGTAATTCTAGATGGATGTGGGCTGGATTCTGCATGGATATATATTGGTTTGGAATGATGTCTGGGTGTCCTGTCACCCCTGTTGCCGTGCCCGCCCTTGGCTGGCTGCAGGCAACTTGGCGGGTCGCCAATTGACACTAGACCTGTCTCGGGCTCAGACGAAGTCCTCTGCTCAGACGAAGCTTCACTACATTTCATAAGGTTTCGAGCTTTGAAGTTAATTTTCATGCAAATATAAATTTTCAACCCAGTGTGGCAGTTGTGGGTATGGACGAGATGCGAACTTAATGGGGGTTCAAGCTTGGGGTTTTCATGTAAATTTATGCATTGCAAGAAGATGCCAAAAAAAATAATAGATCTACATATATTTACATCAACATATTGAATCGATATGAACTTTTATGTCAATTTAAATTACTACTACTATTACGGACTTGGGCGCGATCGAGCAAAAATACGCGGATTTCTGAAGCAAAATGTTCGAAATAATCGGATTATTTCCTACATTTTCGCCTTTTAATTTTTAGTTTTGGCTCCTTCATGATGGGTCTACGGCTTCCGTCGCGGTCCGGACCCCCCCCCCAAATAATTGGATTATTTCATAAGACGGCAGGTATTCCTCGCAATCCGCATACAAAACATCTCGAGCCAGCAGATGAGATGCTAGACATTACACACGAGCCTAATGGTGACGACGGTGACGGTGATTTCGGTCCTTCAGAGCAGAACTTCAACGGTGGGATATTAGCAGATGCCCGGGCCGTGTTGCAGAGCATCGGTGAATCGGTCCTCAACCTCGTTGAATAATCTATGGCTTGGAAAGCGGCCAGTCACAACGGCTGTCGTCCCTTCAACGCTTTGGCTTTTTCAGGAGCTCGGGCTACATAGCAACGGATCAGCCGGGAAAATTTGACAACATGGTCAAGAGCAACTGCAACAAAGCCCATATATTCGTTTCCGGATCAGGGCCTCAATATGAAGGTGCTGCTGGACAGGATCGGCGAACTTTGGGTGAATGGCGGCTTTGGCACTCGAGACCAGTTCTTGAAAACCTATAGGCCAGTGCTTGGACTACCTGCAGTGAATGGCTGTCCGCGCTTTTTGGCAGTTCTGGCGCAACGCTCTGTGATCTATGGCACTGATCTGTGTCTTGCTCGCCATCCGCCACAAAGGCTGCTGCAAGTGACAAGGAACTTGCAGAA